AGTTACATATCTCAGGTCTGATCCTCTTGGTCTTTTATCTGTGCACCAGAATTTCCAACTAACTCGACCCGCACTGCACCCAAACTTTAACACTGCGTACCTCCCTCTGTCAAACACATACACACACTGCATGTGTAAGACTCTATATATATATATATGTTTTCGTAAATAGGTCTCTGACTCCTGCACAGTACTGTATATGTGTGTGTAAAAGGGGGCTAACAAAGTATCAGAGAAACAGATGGACTACAGTCTGTAACTGTAGAACTACAAAGTGCACCTATATAGTAAGTGGAGCTGATAAAATGGACAATGAGCGTAAAAACAAGGAGGTACACACATATGTGTGTATATATACACACATATACACACCCACAAATATAAAAACATGTGCAAAGGATATACGGCAGCTTTCGTACACTTTGGTACCTTCCAGTAAAAGAAAAATGAGCTTCCTCAACTCAGCTAAGCTTAGTGCTTTTTTTTCTGATGTGCGTTCATCTGACAGATAAGTCTGGACAGTGCAGAGGTTATGATCATGCTTTTATGATCATAACTTCTGTTTCATGGCCCCTGCCCAAAACAATGGTCCCCTTTACCCCCACCAGTTTAATAAAGGAAATACACAGAGGGAGTAAAGAGTCTGAGTTATCAGTGCACACTTACAAATATCAACACAAAGTATATGAATTAAATACACAGAACATAAATGAAAACGTGAATGAAGACGAACACAAGGCTGCAGATCAAAATCCGGAATAAATCCAAAAACACGTCTTAATCACGGGCGGCCGTCCTCTCCTCGGCCTTCAGCTGAACCCCCGAAAGAAAAGGATGTCTGGGTCCTGGAGAGAGAGAGAGAGAGAGAACGCAAAGCGCACCCGACTGGATAAAAAGAGATGAAGAAGGAGGGAGGATAAACAAAGTTCAAACGCAGGACTTCATGCAGCGGGACACTCACACACAAAGAAACTGACCGATCACAATCCTCACGCACGGACGGATGAAAGGTATCAGGACAAAAGAGCAGACAGCAAAGATGAGTGTCACATGGCATCGTATGTCATGCTAATACTGTAGAATAATGTTATTATGCATATTTTACATGAAAAACTCTTTAAAAAGCATCCAATAACATAAAAACCTCTGCTGTTGTGTTCTCATGTGTTTTTATCTCAAGTAAACAAAATCAGGCCTAAACAGGCTCTGATGCTCATCAGTGTCATTCCCCGTCGCCTCTAGTGCCCTGTAGGTCCATGATTTGGACCTAGTAAACAATAAGAAGTTAATAATAATAATGAGAAGAAAAAAGAATTAGATATTTGTGAATGAACTATATGTCCAAAAGTTTGTGGACATCCCTTCTTATTAGTGAATTGAGCTGCATTAAGCTGCACTCACTGCTGACACAGGAGTCCAAAGGCACACAAAAGCATTGACAATAGAATAGGATGCTTTATAGCAGCTGCTCATGATCCTAACGTCACATGTCCAATGGGAAGCGTGGGCTAGAGGGGTATAAAGCCCCCCAGCATTGGGCTGTGGAGCAGTGGAACAGTGTTCTCTGGAGTGATGGAGCTCCATCCAGTACATTTGGGATGAGTTGGAGTGATCCAGAACTGACCATCCAACATCAGTACCTGACCTCACTAATGCTCCATCAACTCCTCACAGCAATGTTCAACATCTAGTGTAAAGCCTTCCTAGAAGAGTAGAGGCTGTTACTGCAGCAAATGGGGGGCAAATTCCATTTTAACACACTTTATTTTGGAAGAAACACTGGATGAACATGTGTCCACAAACTTTTGGCCATATAGTGTATATACACAGGGCCTTTCCAACACTTAAAGATGCTTTAAAAGAAGAAATTACATCAGCATGAACACGGAACAATGAGATCACAGACAGAAACAACATAAACATCAAAGCACAACATTAGAGTAAGATACAGACAGTCTCATGCATCATCTTTTATCACGCTAAACATCCCGACTTCTAAATCAACTGCTGGTGGTACTTTTTCTTTGTCCAATTTCACTTTTTCAGGAATTCCTAAATCTCTCTAGAGTTGAAGAATTAGATCATCAAAGGAATTAAAGTTTACTGAATTGAACAAGGGAGCGCCAAAATTTCCTTCAGTTAACAGAACAGAACAGCATTTATTCACAAACACTGCCCTCTTCTGGTTAAAAACAAAAACATACATCACAGTTACAGTGTGCATTGAAACGGCTTATATTTTGACACACTAAAGGAATATTTTACATTATAGTATATATTATACTACATAGTTAATCTCAGAAATGACAACTTCATAAGAAAAGAAAAAGTTAGAGATTGTATCCATGTAACTGAGTGGTCCATTTATCACGAAATGTTCACACAATGTCCAGAGCAGCATCTATTTTAAATGATTTAATATTTATGATGGTATATATATATATTATTTTATATACATTTTTTATTTTTGTATACTAATATATATATATATATATATATATATATATATATAAATATATATATATATATAGACAGAGAGAGAGACAAAAAGTATATATTTTGTTCATTTTTTTGTAGTGAAAAGAACCTCTGAAGCTAACTATTTTTTAAAAGCAAATTTTTTTTCTGCAAATGTTACTTTATATCTAAATAAACTTAAAAAATTTAAATAAATAGTGATTCCAAAAGTTTGGACACCTTGCTAGATCAGTACTTAGTACACAACTCTTCTTGTTCTGCGATATTCTGCCATCTAAGGTCTGCATAAGCTTGTTAGGTCCACCTCTTTGTTTCTACACTTATTTTGTACTCCATTGTCCACTGACCATATAGTTTCACTCTGTAGTTCTACAGTTACAGACTGTAGTCCATCTGTTTCTCTGATACTTTGTTACCCTGTTCTTCAATAGTCAGAACTCCCACAGAGCAGGTATTATTTGGGTGGTGGATCATTCTCAGGACTGCAGTGACACTGACGTGGTGGTGGCGTCAGGGTGTGTTGCGCTGGTGCGAGTGGATCAGACACAGCAGTGCTGCTGCTGACAACTGTGCAGCAGCAGATCTATCATCTCTGACTTTACACCTACAAAGTGGACCAACAAAGTAGGAGTGTCTAATAGAGTGGACAGTGAGTGGACACAATCAGGCAGTTAGTTTTCAAGCCTATTTTCACCACATTAGCATGAACAGTAATGTTTTATCTGATCATTGTGGAGGATTATAACATTGATTGCAAATTGGTGGCTAATTGCTAAAGAGGTGCTTGGCCCCCTATTAGCACCTATAAATGTACTTACAAACCTTTATATTTTCGTGGCTCCTGTTGTGGCTCAGTGATGAGTTCGCATGCAGATCTCAAGGTTCTGGGTTTGTAGTCCAGCTTAACTGTAGTTGCAGAAGTGGGTCATGCATGCAATGTGGTGCTTGGACCCCGGATATTGCCTCTTGCAGCTATTCTTCCATATTGCTATTCATTGAGTATCCTTTACACATAATAACTACACAGAAAAAGGCAAATATAGGATGGTTTTGTTAAATTGTGACTTCAACCCAGCTGTGCAAGACTTGTTGATCAGGATGTGCATATAGAACACAACGCTTTAAAGCAGCAGTGTGTAATGTCATATAATACAATGCTAAGACCCTTTGCGATGGTTTAACAGCGGACAATCTCAAGCCCCTCTATAGCTTACACTAAAAACTAAAGGAAAGAACGTCTAAAGCTCATTTTGATTGCCACATGGCCTTAATTGCTGCTACTGGAGAACAATACACCAGTATATTCGGCTGACGGAAGAGAAACCTAAAAGAAACCTAAATAAATATCCCAACCCCTTCAATTTGTCCAAGAAGTTAAATAACTTTTTGAAGGAAAACAAACAAAGCACATCAGTTCCGAAGCAGAAAATAAGAAGCAAGTAAAAGCTGATATCAAGCCTGGAGAACAAAAGTAGTGGAGATATCTGTGTCCTTGAGAATAATGAAGACAAAACAGCACCTCCGGAAGTGTTGCTGAAAAAAGAAAGGATGAAAGGACATTCGTTTAGTCCATGAATTCAGGTGGACAGTAGGATAAAAAAAATTGCACTAGTGGCTGCATGACGCAGACTGTGCACTGTGACTATGGAGTCTGGGCCAAGAGCCGGAACATCATGAATAGCAGCAGTGGAGTCTGACTGGACCGCGACTTGGGACACCTCTCACAGAAGTTGTGGAGTCTGACTGGGCTGCGACCCAGGACAAATCTCAGTGCTAGTGGAGTCTGACTGGGCCACAAGCCAGGACACTTCTCACAGCAGTAGTGGAGTTTAACTGGGCCATGACCCGGGACACTTCTCACAGCAGTAGTGGAGTTTAACTGGGCCATGACCCTGGACACTTCTCACAGCAGTAGTGGAGTTTAACTGGGCCATGACCCTGGACACTTCTCACAGCAGTAGTGGAGTTTGACTGGGCCATGCCGGGGCACTTGTTACAGCAGTAGTGGAGTTCGACTGGGCCGTGCCTGGGGCACTTCTCACAGCTGTAGTGGAGTTTGACTGGGCCAGATAGCAACGAGCTGGGGCACTCTCACAGCAGTACTGGAGTTTGCTTAGGCAGTGACCCGGGGCACTTCTCACAGCAGTAGTGGAGTTTGCTTAGGCAGTGACCCGGGGCACTTCTCACAGCAGTAGTGGAGTTTGACTGGGCCATGACCAAGCAACGAGCTTGGGCACTACTTAAAGCAGTACTGGAGTTTGCTTAGGCAGTGACCCGGGGCACTTCTCACAGCAGTAGTGGAGTTTGAAAACACCACAAACCTTTGCACGACAACACTGAAGTCAGTGGCAATTCAAACTACAAAAGAAAACCTCTTTAAAATAAAAGAACAATACTGTCAGAAAAGTCACTCAGGGACCAGTTTTGAGCCAGAATACAGTACATTTATCAGCTCATGCTTATTTATACCATCAAAAACACCAACTTTATCACACAAGTGACCAAAGAATGAATCCAACAAACATTTTCAAATAAAATAGGTTTTATTTCCAGTCTGAAAAGATTAAAATGACAAGAACCCAAAAAAACCCAAAAAACAAAAAAAGTCAGACAGTTAAAGGATGCCTGTGGTGGGGGTCACAATGTGTTAGGAGAGGGAGCGATTTTCCTTGATTACTCACATCATTCTGTGTACATATTTATAATGAAAATACAAATATACATATTAATCATTTAATAAAAATAGCTTAGCTTAGGAGGGCAACTGTTGGCTAAAATCAACCGAAACCAATCAACGTGCAGAAAAGAAAAGAGGGCGGGGTCACGTGGGAGTGTGTGTGTGTGTGAGAGCGAGACGAGTGAGTGGACACACCACTGTTTCCACAGCTGTGAAACTGGTCGCCCTTTACACAAAAGCACGAGGTTCAGCACTGGGGTTTCGTTTACACTAAAACTTTCATTTACACATTCTCATTTAAAGCGATAATTTGACCACATACAGTTTTTTCCACTCTTATGTAACTCGCAAATGTAGCTGATCAGCCAAGATGTGTCTGAAGTTTTCTTCTTCTTTAGTTTTGGCTAAAAACATCATCATTAATATCTTTAACAATTTTTTATGTATTATAGCATTTAGCTTGGTGCTAACAGCATAAATCATCACACCGTGTCAAACTGCTAACACATTAAAAGGGAAATCCACCAATTTACAGTGATGGTGATAGAAATTACAAATATACACAAATATAGACATTTTATTTACTATCCAGAACCACCAGTGAACCTACATGAGTCATCTGAGTTTATATGAATGTTGATGATGGAAAATAGTGGAAAAATCTGAAATAATAAGTTTTCTTTGGGGACTATTTTTGCCTCCTGCATGTATCCCTCCACCATGAACGAATTTTAAGGCCAAAATCTTCTTAAAACTATCATAAAACAGTGTCTCAGTCATCAGGCAGTGAATTCATAACCGTTTACTGTAGGAACTTTCTGTGAGGGAGCTTTTAGAGGTGGACGTCTGGTTCCTATCACCACCACTGTGAAAAGTTCTGACTCGGTAAGTTTCTCTAGAACAGAGCGTTTCACACCAAACCACTCTGAACTCTGAAGTGTTACTTAATACCACTGTTGTGTTCATGTGATATATAAAGAATGTGACCTGAGCCGAAGAATTTCAGAGATCTTTTTTCACAAATGACCTTTTTGAAAAAGAAAACACATGACTAGGAATATAAGCGACACATCAGTCGTGCTTTAGAGTTAATAAAACTGAACTGCGCTCTGAACGAGCTTGAATGGTCGCTTGGAAAAAAACGGTGCAACCGACAGTGAAGAAGCAAACTTCAGACACCAAACAAGCCTCATCAACTACAATTCAGCTCCAGGTAAAACTGTACATTTGTTTTTGCGCAAAACCATCGCTTTAATCGGGGTAAGGGGGGCGGTGGACTCGGGGACCGGAGGGATTAAGGCTAAAGTTAACTGCATGGTATTTACATGAAAAGGCCATGTCCGTTTCATCCTCATAAACATCGACATCGCCAGCACTTTTAACTACAGGATCCGAAACTGAAACACATTCAGAAGGTTGTGTTATCATGACCTACACACGGAGAGCAGCGTTACCGGCTGTAGATTAACCCTAAATCGAAAATAAACACGATTTCCAATGAAAAACATCACGACTAAGTGTGCAAAACGGTCCAGGGCCGAGGCTCATCTGCGGAAATGACCTCTGGTGACCTCTCATGTAGGCAGCTGGGTTGTAACAGCATGTGTGTGCCCGTGCTGATGCTGTAACACGGTGATCTGGCAACCCTACCACCAACATAAACATGTATTTAGGGTTATTCATGGTTAAGTGTTATGCATTGCTTATGTCTGTTGTGTTACTGAAACTTTAGCACTGTGGCTAAAAGCATTCGTAACACATCCGTAAGCACTAAATTAGCCAAAAGAAACAGAACAAAAAGCATTTGAATGACTTCTGACAGTGTCATCTCAGCTTATGAACCAATCTTTCTTGAAACAGCCTCGTTTTTGGTAGCAAATTTCAGTCCTGAAACGTACAGGATAATCCAGTCAATCACCACGGTAGTGTTTTAATAACATCACTGGTAGGTGCCGTGTTATAAATGCTTTATTTAGAAGTTAAAAGCATTAACAGTTTCCTTTTAGAGTCATCGCACGTCAGGTCCACTCTCGTAAAGCAGATTTTTTACACACTTTAAAATGTGTATAACAGCACATTCCTTTCATTTTCTCAGACTACTATTGTGATTTCTGCTCATTTTAGATGATCTATTATATTTCTACAAAAATAGCCAGCCTTAAACGCCCTCAAAGGGGCCGTCTGCTCACTATTTGGCCAAACTCGGTTACATACGGACACAACAAAGTGCCAAAGTCTAAAGTCCAGGGCAAACCGGGGGGGGCACTTTGTGTTGAGATTAGCTATACAATGTTAGATTGTCAGTTTTGTTACATTTCAAATTTTAATAAATTTTAATAAATTACCCTGTGAGGTTCAAGAAAGACAACTCAAGGCTTACGTTTTTGAAAAAATGACTAAAAAACTGCTCCCACATAAGCACTCAAACACACTGGGCAGGTTTACTATGTCCAAAACAAACAAACAAAAAAAAAAAAAAGTAGCCAGACTGAAATCTATTCCTAGCAACATTATCGTAGCGGGGATGGACACATATACCTCTGTAAGTTACACAAACAGTTTAGCCACATCAAATTTCAGGCAAATATGGGAAGAAAAACAAAATGTAAATATCTATATAAGTACAGTAACCATTTCTGTCTCACTTTCTCTCTGCAGAAAAGAACGTTCGTGTCAGATCTACAGGGGTCGTACAGCATTATGCAATTGTCCCGTCCAAGCTCCGCCCACAATTACCTTCTTACGTGTCTACTGTAGTGAGGCTGCGTACTGCTGCACTATGATTTCGCTAGGCCTGTCACAATTATTACATAATTGCCTGCACGCAATTATTTTATGTTCCTATGTTTATGGCACAACATTTTGTTGGGTTAAGGCAAATAAAACAAAGCAGGAAATGCAGTTATCACTGCTCTTACAATGACACCTTTACAGGATAGCAGCGAGGAATGTTTGTTTATTTAATTTATTTGCTGTTTGTTAATAACACCTTTAGAGGGCAGCAGCGAGCAACACTTATTGCCTAAAGGAAACCTTTAGAGGGCGGCAGTGAGCGATGTGTGTTTAATGCTTGTTAAGGATGCCTTTAAAGGGTGGCGGTGAGTAACATTTGTTTATTTGATATTTGTGCAGGACACCTTTAGAGGGCAGCAGTGAGCAACGTTTATTGTCTAAAGGACGCCTTAAGAGGGCGGCTGTGAGTAACATTTGTTTATTTGATGTTTGTTAATAATACCTTTAGACGGGCAGCAGCAAGCAATGTTTATTGTCTAAAGGACATCTTTAGAGGGCAGCAGCGAGCAACACTTATTGCCTAAAGGAAACCTTTAGAGGGCGGCGGTGAGCGATGTGTGTTTAATGCTTGTTAAGGACGCCTTTAGAGGGCGGCGGTGAGTGACGTTTGTTAATAACACCTTTAGAGGGCAGCAGCGAGCAACACTTATTGCCTAAAGGAAACCTTTAGAGGGCGGCGGTGAGCGATGTGTGTTTAATGCTTGTTAAGGATGCCTTTAGAGGGCGGCGGTGAGTAACATTTGTTTATATGATGTTTGTACAGGACGCCTTTAGAGGGCAGCAGTGAGTAACGTTTATTGTCTAAAGGACGCCTTTAGAGGGCAGCAGTGAGCAACGTTTATTGTCTAAAGGACGTTTATTGTCTAGAGGGTGGCGGTGAGTACCATTTGTTTATTTGATGTTTGTTAATAATACCTTTAGAGGGCGGCGGTGAGCGATGTGTGTTTATTCAATGTTTGTTAAGCACGCGTTTAGAGGGCGCTGGTGAGCAACATTTGTTTAATTGATGTTTGCTTATAATTTATTTAGAAGACGTGGTGAATTATGTCTGTTTATTTGAGTTCAAGCTGTGTGCATCATCAGCTCGGAGCTACAATAGCAAGAAAGCTAGACAGCTAACTGGCCAATCATTTCAGGCTTGTACTGTGTTAAAATTTCAAGATTGTGACAGACCCAGCTGGAGATAATTGAAACTAGCTAGAATGAAAATGATGCTAACCTTGCTAACTTTAGCTTGATTATGCTCACTAGCAGTGTGACCATTCAGGCATTAAAAATAAATATCATCCGAAATTAGCAAACATTAGCAAAACACCTAAATATTGTTAAATGTTTAATTGTTAAATTAATTTTACGCATTTTGATACAAACAGAGTTGTCAGGTTGAAAGCTTGACCACCCTCACAACAGTATTTTTGGGGAAAAAAAACGCATTTGTAGGCGGAGCCTGGATAAGCCAACTGGGGAGGGTTCAAATAAAGATATCACCTGTCTAATCAATCACCCAATATCTCAACCGATCAATCTATTAATCAATCAATCACACACTCTAGCAGCAAACAGTGTTCTGACGTGTTCCCTAATTAGTAAGAGACACAAAAACTTCCCAGAGCCAAAAAACAAGACACGCACTCCAAAAACCAGACAAGCTCTCCGTTTGTTCTTTGTTGAAAGTCTGATCAAAAATATAAAAGTAATTCTAAAAAAAACAACAAAAAAAACGAGTAAAAATGAAAGAGTAAACTGAAGTGAGGAAAAGTTGGTAGTAGTAGCCAAGGGTGTGTCTATTTGCTAATTAGCACAACATTCAAGATCTGCACATTTGCATCAACTAACATGGAAGAAAATCTCACTCATATCTGCCACTAGCCAAAATAAAAGTCCTTTACAAACCAGCACAACGAAATGAAACAATCAGCCACGCAAACCGAGCCATACCGGTCAGCATTCCCTCCCCCACACATACACGTTTACACATGTTGGGCAAAGTCTCAGCCAAGAAAAGCAAAAAAAGCAAAAATAAAATAAAAAATAAAAGCGACGTGCTAAAGGTGCCACGCCTCGCATCAGCTAGACAAAGGAATAGTTGTGTCAGCAAAAGCTAATGTCGCTAATAATCACAGAAAACAAGCAGCTACCAAACTAGCATGAGGCAAACCACTGATAGCTACCAGCTTCCGTTCAACGTTAGCAAGTTTGGTCAGGCTATTCCTTTAAGCTCCCAAGTCTGTTTCACAATAATTATCATTAAAAAGAAAAACAAAAGTGCTGAGAAAACGTGTGGAGACAAGCTCCAGCACTGCACCACGCGGCTGAAATCCGAAGGAGAGGGCGCAAAGCGAGATCAGCGTATTAGCGTAAAGCTTTAGTCTGGATTAGGTCCACAAAACGAGAGAAATTCTGCATAAAAAGATTCAAGATGAAAGAAAAAAAAAGAAAAGAGGAGCCGGGTGATTTTTATGAAAAAAAACATTATTCATGCTAATAACACGTTATCCTGATCACTTTCTCTCTCTCTCTCATGCGAACACTCACAAACACACAGTGTACATACATACGGACACACGTTTGAGCTTAGCTTGGTTTTAAGGAAGAGTTTAAATGGATTCTTTAAAAAATAAAAACACAAACAAACAATAAAACATCATTTAACAAAATTCAAAAAGACAGTAGCGAGTAAGACAGGACAGTGGCACGCACACACCATCGCTGCTGCATCCTATGTGCCGATAAAGAGAGGAAAGAAAACCAAAAAATGTAACTAATTCTATATACAAACAAAAAAAGCAAGCGTTCGGCATTGTGTGCCTATATATTTGTTTACCCGTTTTATTTAATGAGCAAAAAAAAAGAAAAGAAAAGAAGAAGAAAAAAAAACTGACCTTTTTTTGTTTTGTTTTTTCCGTTTTAAAAATGGAAAAAGTGGGGAAGGCGATACGGAACAGCGGAGAGAGGAGGAGGTTTTACGCAGAGCTTTTACGTTTCTGGGGTTTAAGGAACAGAAAGGCAGATAGTGCATAAAGGTTTGCTCTTTCCTGTCTTTTTTTTTTTTCTTATTTTTTACGTTTTGTAATTTTTCATTATTATTATTTTTTTATTTAATGTCAAGCTGCATTTGATACAGGCTTTTTCTTTGTACAAGACAATTGCACTTCACAAAACAAAACAAAACAAAACAAACAATAAAAAAACAGAAATATACAAACACACGAGGAAATGTGAATCAAATTAATTACAGCCCAAAAAATCAGAGAAAAAAAAAAAAATAAAAAAAAGAAAAAAAAGGAAAGAGAAACAAAACTGTGACTCTATAGCTGCGGGTTTAGGGGGGGGAGATGATGCGGGTCAAGGGACACTGGGTTTAGAACAGGTGAGAGAGAGAGGATATGGACGTCGATCCACTTTCTGGAGAAGTGTCGATGGCGTGAGCGAAGAAGTGAAACGTTTTCCTCCTCTCGCGCGTCCTTCCGAGCGGTCCGGGTCGTCTGGGCAGAGCCGAAGCTGTAGTGGGTCTGATGCGGGTTCTGGAGGGTTGTAAACTGTGTGTCCGGGTTTAAAAGATCAACGCTACCACATGTCGTCTGTGGACGCGGAATCCTTGAGTGGAGAGAGGAGGAACAGCAGCTCGTGAGACGCCACCCAACTCCACCTCAGCCCAAACACCAGCCAGTCAAAGGAGCAGCTCAGAGAAGCTAACGTTGCTAACAGAAGGTAACAGTCGGCAACTACACACTTAAAGATGGTTCTTCAAGGGTTCTTTAGTAAAGGCAGTGGTTATACTCAGAACCATGAGTTCTATATAGAAACATTTCATGCTTAAATGGTCACAATAGCACAACGCTTATTGGTGCTATATAGAACCATATACATGGGTTATACACAGAAACATGTCATGGTTCTTTACAATAGTTCATCAGACTGATGGAGACTGTGTTGTGTAGGGTTCTACACAGAAGCATTTTCTAAAGGGTTCTGTTATTGCTGCAAGCTTGACATCGTCACAATAGCACAACCCTTTTTGGTGCCATATAGAACCACATACAACACACTCTCCATCAATCCACGAGCCATGAAATGGTCTCTATACAGAACCCATGGTTCCAAACAGAACCATTCCCTTTACTAAAGCACCCTTGAAGAACCATCCTTTTTAATTGTGCAGTTAAAGGAACAGCTTGGTCAGAAAAGGGTTCGCCAACTACACACTAAAGCACCAAAAAGGGTTCTGCTATTGTCACAACCTTTACATCGTCACCATATAAGAACTCATGGTTCTAAACAGAATCATTCCCTCTACCAAAGAACCCCAGAAGAACCATCTTTTTTTTTTGTTTTAAGAGCACAGTTAAGGTACAGCTCAGAGAAGCTAATGTTGCTAACAGATGAAAAACAAACCGTCACCAAATACACACTAAAAAAACAAAAGGGTTCTTCAAGGGTTCTTTGGTAAAGGCAATGGTTACATTCAGAACCATGAGTTCTATATAGAAACATTTCATGCCTAAATGGTTCTTTGTATGGGGAAATGGCTCTTCAGACTGATGGAGAATGTGTTGTATATGGTTCAATGTAGCACCAAAAAGGGTTCTATTGTTGCAAGCTTGACAATGTCACAATAGCACAACCCTTTTGGTGCTATATAGAACCACATACAACACATTCTCCATCAGTCTGTCTCATCAATCCATTCCCTTTACTAAGAAACCCTAGAAAAAACATCCTTTTTAATAGCGCAGTTAAAGGAACAGCTCAGTCAGAGAAGCTAATGTTGCTCACAGAAGAAAAACAGTTGGCAACTACACACTTAAAAAAACATGGTTCTTCTAGGGTTCTTTAGTAAAGGCAGTGGTTGTATCATGCTTAAATGGTTCCTTGCATGGTGAAATGGCTCTTCAGATGTAGAATGTGCTGTATATGGTTCTATGTAGCACCAAAAAGGGTTCTGCTATAGTTCTAAGCTTGACATCATCACAAAAGCACAACTCTTATTGGTGCAATATAGAACCATATACATGGATTATACATAGAAACATGCCATCCTTAAATGGTTCTTTGCATGGTGAAATTATTCAGATTGATGGAGATTGTGTTGTGTAGGGTTCTATATACAGAACCTTTTAGAAAATAGTTCTATATAGCATCAAAAAGGGTTCTGCTATTGTTGCAAGCTTGACAACGTTACAATAGCACAACTCTTATTGGTGCTATATAGAACCATATACATGGGTTATACACAGAAACATGTCATGGTTCTTTACAATAGTTCATCAGACTGATGGAGACTGTGTTGTGTAGGGTTCTACACAGAAGCATTTTCTAAAGGGTTCTGTTATTGCTGCAAGCTTGACATCGTCACAATAGCACAACCCTTTTTGGTGCCATATAGAACCACATACAACACACTCTCCATCAATCCACGAGCCATGAAATGGTCTCTATACAGAACCCATGGTTCCAAACAGAACCATTCCCTTTACTAAACCACCCTTGAAGAACCATCCTTTTTAATTGTGCAGTTAAAGGAACAGCTCAGTCAGAAAAGGGTTCGCCAACTACACACTAAAGCACCAAAAAGGGTTCTGCTATTGTCACAACCTTTACATCGTCACCACAGAAGAACTCATAGTTCTAAACAGAATCATTCCCTCTACCAAAGAACCCCAGAAAAGAACCATCCTTTTTGTTTTAAGAGCACAGTTAAGGTACAGCTCAGAGAAGCTAATGTTGCTAACAGATGAAAAACAAACCGTCACCAAATACACACTAAAAAAACAAAAGGGTTCTTCAAGGGTTCTTTGGTAAAGGCAATGGTTACATTCAGAACCATGAGTTCTATATAGAAACATTTCATGCCTAAATGGTTCTTTGTATGGGGAAATGGCTCTTCAGATTGATGGAGAATGTGTTGTATATGGTTCAAATGTAGCACCAAAAAGGGTTCTATTGTTGCAAGCTTGACAATGTCACAATAGCACAACCCTTTTGGTGCTATATAGAACCACATACAACACATTCTCCATCAGTCTGTCTCATCAATCCATTCCCTTTACTAAGAAACCCTAAAAAAAACATCCTTTTTAATAGCGCAGTTAAAGGAACAGCTCAGTCAGAGAAGCTAATGTTGCTCACAGAAGAAAAACAGTTGGCAACTACACACTTAAAAAAACATGGTTCTTCTAGGGTTCTTTAGTAAAGGCAGTGGTTGTATCATGCTTAAATGGTTCCTTGCATGGTGAAATGGCTCTTCAGATGTAGAATGTGCTGTATATGGTTCTATGTAGCACCAAAAAGGGTTCTGCTATAGTTCTAAGCTTGACATCATCACAAAAGCACAACTCTTATTGGTGCAATATAGAACCATATACATGGATTATACATAGAAACATGCCATCCTTAAATGGTTCTTTGCATGGTGAAATTATTCAGATTGATGGAGATTGTGTTGTGTAGGGTTCTATATACAGAACCTTTTAGAAAATAGTTCTATATAGCATCAAAAAGGGTTCTGCTATTGTTGCAAGCTTGACAACGTTACAATAGCACAACTCTTATTGGTGCTATATAGAACCATATACATGGGTTATACACAGAAACATGTCATGGTTCTTTACATGGTGAAATAGTTCATCAGATTGATGGAGATTGTGTTGTATAGGGTTCTATACAGAAGCATTTTCTAAAGGGTTCTGTTATTGCTGCAAGCTTGACATTGTCACAATAGTACAACCCTTTTTGGTGCCATATAGAACCACATACAACACATTCTCAATCAATCTGAAGAGCCATGAAATGGTCTCTATACAGAACCCATGGTTCCAAACAGAACCATTCCCTTTACTTTAAAGCACCCTTGAAGATCCATCCTTTTTAATTGTGCAGTTAAAGGAACAGCTCAGTCAGAAAAGGGTTCGCCAACTACACACTAAAGCACCAAAAAGGGTTCTGCTATTGTCACAACCTTTACATCGTCACCACAGAAGAACTCATGGTTCTAAACAGAATCATTCCCTCTACCAAAGAACCCCAGAAGAACCATCTTTTTTTTTTTTTTAAGAGCACAGTTAAGGTACAGCTCAGAGAAGCTAATGTTGCTAACAGATGAAAAACAAACCGTCACCAAATACACACTAAAAAAACAAAAGGGTTCTTCAAGGGTTCTTTGGTAAAGGCAATGGTTACATTCAGAACCATGAGTTCTATATAGAAACATTTCATGCCTAAATGGTTCTTTGTATGGGGAAATGGCTCTTCAGATTGATGGAGAATGTGTTGTATATGGTTCAAATGTAGCACCAAAAAGGGTTCTATTGTTGCAAGCTTGACAATGTCACAATAGCACAACCCTTTTGGTGCTATATAGAACCACATACAACACATTCTCCATCAGTCTGTCTCATCAATCCATTCCCTTTACTAAGAAACCCTAAAAAAAACATCCTTTTTAATAGCGCAGTTAAAGGAACAGCTCAGTCAGAGAAGCTAATGTTGCTCACAGAAGAAAAACAGTTGGCAACTACACACTTAAAAAAACATGGTTCTTCTAGGGTTCTTTAGTAAAGGCAGTGGTTGTATCATGCTTAAATGGTTCCTTGCATGGTGAAATGGCTCTTCAGATGTAGAATGTGCTGTATATGGTTCTATGTAGCACCAAAAAGGGTTCTGCTATAGTTCTAAGCTTGACATCATCACAAAAGCACAACTCTTATTGGTGCAATATAGAACCATATACATGGATTATACATAGAAACATGCCATCCTTAAATGGTTCTTTGCATGGTGAAATTATTCAGATTGATGGAGATTGTGTTGTGTAGGGTTCTCTATATAGAACCTTTTAGAAAATAGTTCTATATAGCATCAAAAAGGGTTCTGCTATTGTTGCAAGCTTGACAACGATACAATAGCACAACTCTTATTGGTGCTATATAGAACCATATACATGGGTTATACACAGAAACATGTCATGGTTCTTTACATGGTGAAATAGTTCATCAGATTGATGGAGATTGTGTTGTATAGGGTTCTATACAGAAGCATTTTCTAAAGGGTTCTGTTATTGCTGCAAGCTTGACATTGTCACAATAGTACAACCCTTTTTGGTGCCATATAGAACCACATACAACACATTCTCAATCAATCTGAAGAGCCATGAAATGGTCTCTATACAGAACCCATGGTTCCAAACAGAACCATTCCCTTTACTAAAGCACCCTTGAAGATCCATCCTTTTTAATAGCGCAGTTAAAGTAACAGCTCAGTTAGAGAAGCTAACATTGCTAACAGAAGAAAACAAACAGTCGCCGACTACACACTAAAACAAAGAGGGTTCTTAAAGGGTTCTTTGGTAAAGGCAATGGTTGTACTTAGAACCATGAGTTATATATAGAAACATTTCATGCTTAAATGGTTCTTTGCATGGTGAAAAGGCTCTTCAGATTGATGGAGAATGTGCTGTATATGGTTCTATGTAGCACCAAAAAGGGTTCTGCTATTGTCGCAAGCTTGACGTCACAATAGCACAACTCTTTTTGGTGCTACATGGAATCATATGCAACATATTCTCCATTAATCTGTCTCATCCATCCATTCCCTTTACT